GACAAATGTTTAATTAACTTATTAAAGAAATTAAAGATTAAAAAGATGTGGGGCTGCCAGGACAACTTCAGCACGCCACGGCATGAATTCAACAAGTATCTGGTGAAGTAGTATTTACAGCAGAATGAGACTGAGGGAGATTAATAGCGGGGTCGGTGAAGAGTGATAGTTGTTGCTCAACATATCGGTAGAATAACATATTTGAGACTTGCCTGAGGAGGTAAATGTATTCTGATTTCCATTAATAGGAAATGAACGGCCAGTTAATGTAGTTTGTAAAGACGGGGCTGATTTATTGGCTTACACACATGCCATTAATGTGTGTGCAAACAGTGGTACCGTGGAACCTTAAGCCTGTGATCTGGTTAGTGTGTTCGTCTGTGATGCAAAGCTGCATGAGAGGCACGTGGCTCCAACAAATATTCTGTGAAATGAAACCTTTTTACCTTATGAATATGAAATGTACTATATGAACAAAAGTATTGGGTCACACCTCTTGCCTAAACATGTAATGGCCATATTCAACCAGAAGGCTGGTTATACCAAATCTGTGAGTATTTCCTTGTAGAAAATGCTGAGCACCTCCCAGCTGTACTTTGGGACTAGATTGCAGCTGAACTCTAGCATCCCTGCATGTAAGAGAAGGGGAATAGCTACTTTGGGAAAATAAAAATCAATATTCTTTCATGACCTCCTGAAGTCCTCTCATTACAGCTTTGCACTCATCACACTCGGTCGGTAACTCGTGGGTGTAGTGAAAAAGGGAAATGGACTTGTATTGTGCCTTTTTTCCCCTTTTAGTCGTTCACAAAGTGCTTTACACATTTTGGCTCACACATACTCTCACATAGCACTGGCAACTGAGCTTTCATGCAAGGTACTCGTCTACCATCCCGAACAACTTTGGGTTCACTTTCTTGCTCAAGGGCCCTTTGGCATGCAGACAGGAGGAGGTGGGTGTTGTGTAGGCAGCCCTCTCTTCCCCATACAGACAATTTAATTTGTAAAAGAAGAATCAGGAAAGTGTAAATAAAGTGGATGAGGGTTCTATCCTGAATGCGTTTATATCTTCATCTGTCTTTATATTTTGCTTTCTTTCAGACGTCCTATGACCAAAATAGAGATATTAAAGTGAGTTCGTCGTAAGATTCTCAAATAATCGAATTACTTTAATAGATAGTTTTTGTCTTTGATTGCCTTAGTGGCAATTTAAACTCAGTCTGAAATTAGAAGAGACAGTGGCATGTGTCGGCATTCAGTCGGTGCTTGATTTGTTACTTGGCAGAAATATTTAGCTACGAGGGGGCTGTTATTCTCTGCTGTGGTCGATCACACTGAATCCTCAGGGACTCTAATATGACTAGACACATATTGAGGTACTCCATTTGACATCAGACATTTCATCTCCTTAATATAAAGAAATTGCCTGGAACGGGGGCCATTTTTTTTAACTTTGTGTGCTTGATGGATGCAATTTATATTCAGCTATAGTCTGCGCACCTAGCCAAATGAAGGACCTTTATATTTTGAAATCCAGGAAAACACAATCCCTCTCTCATTATAAGAAAATAACAGAGGATGCAGCTGCAAAGTGATGTTAGTCCCATAGTTCCTCTGAGGCTTCGTGTTTACAATCCGGTTGTACACTGTAACAACACAGGGCTGCAAATTACAGAGCCCCCATGGCAACATAGGTGGGAAAAGATCAATAACTCATGGCCACAAGCTGGTAAGGTGTGGGCACATGATAACTCAATTGTGGCTACATGACACTGAATCTGTTGTTTACTGCACACTGGACGAGCTCCATGCATGAAGCATAGATACATTTGATTTGGATTGATCTTATTTTTGCGACGCATCATAATATCCCGCAATGTTTGTCACGCTTGTTGCCAGACGATTGCACCACTCACCTTATCGCTAATGTGCTAATCTCCATAAAGCTTTAGTCTGACATATATATTAGCCTTCAGTCTCTAGGCACAGACTTTCAGAGTAAACAAAACTGTATTTATGAACAAAGCTGTCGATTCCACCTCACAACATTTTTCAAATTTATTGCTGAGCAATGTTTAGCGCGGTCAGTAAATAACATTCTACATCTTGTAGTCACCATTTACTTGTGAGTTTCCTGAGCCTTATTAAAAGGCAATAAGCAGGTTTTTGCTTTAACTCATTGTGAAGTAAATGTTATGCGTGTATATAATAACACATGTTGTTAGACTATATATAGAACCTCCTAAAAAGCCTGGATTGGAGAACCAAAACTGGGAAGCTGGATAATGATTTCATTTCCCTGTGAGCTGTTGTTAGCATGGATTCGTAGATCTGCCAAGTTTTTCTAAGCACTCATGGTCACCCCCAGAAATTTCCAATATATGCAAATTATTATTGTTATTTAGTTATTTATTTTTTACAAGTGCTAAATTAAGGACTTGGAGATAAAAGCAGAAGTACTTCACTCACCATCAACCACACAGTCTTAGCTTTATTACATTTGATAGTCATACATGTGCATCTCTTTGTCAGTTGCTACTGTAATGTCTAGCCAACACTCACTTATCTTCTCCTAATGCATTACTAACTTGTGGCCACCCAATAAAATATTAATGCAGAGCAATTATATTTTCCCACCCATGTCACTGGGGAGGAAAATGGAAGAAAACGAAGGAAGTGTTTATGGCGTTTATGGGATGCAGTCAGACTGAGCTTGCACTGTATAACCTTGGTTCAGTTCTCTGAGCACTCATCATTATTTCCTCTCTTAGATTTTGCACAAGTGCGTGATGCTGCAGTAGCCCATTTTCTCTGGTTTGGTTCAGCGTCTTTGGGTTTTAAGAGCAACTCAAGTTGTAGACGTACTGTGACGATGCCAAAAGTGTTCAAAGTAACATATAACAGTTATACTGCTGTGGTGTGGGTGAATATCAAAAGCTTAACTGAGGTCTAATCAATGCAGGTTTTAGGAAGCTGTGTAATAGAAATAGGTTGATAATGGCTGCACTTTAATCATTCTATTTTATTATGGAAAAAGGACTCTCTGAGCCACATTTTACTCAGAGCACAGTGTTCTTCCATTATGACAATCTGCCATTATTTTTAAGCAGTGCTTCAATTAAACCCCCACATAGAGGAAACAACTCAGCCAGTGTGCTTAAATACTGAACCTTCCACTTCCATTTGTATTCAGCTTCTTATCGTGACCTCCCTCTGTAGCGCACTCTGCCTCCCTGCTCTTTATTAGCTGTCACAAAAAAATGCAGGTCATATCATGGGCGTTCGCCTGGGAGCTCGAGCTGTTCTTAACTTTCAGAAGATTTCTGCCAAAAGATGCCAGGCACAGCTCCTCCCGAAGACCCTGCTTTTCATCTGCTGCTTGTTTTTTTCATGCAAAAGGTTCTTGAAAGGAGCTGAAATATACTCGTGCTCAAAATAAAGAAAAGATGGCGCAATCTAAACCGCATATTGATGTTATAATGAGCAGAGAAGTGAAATATTGACAAAATGTCGATACATTCAGCTAGGCAGGTTTCAATTAGTACTCTGTACCCCCAACAATACACTTTACAGTTTGAGATGACGGGTTTATTGATTGGTTGGTTGGTTGATTAAGTTTTTTCTTCTCCTCTCACAGAACACACAGACTGTTCTTTATTAATTACTTTACTAGAGTTGAATCTAAATCAGAGGTTATATAGTAAAGGACAATGGACCTGCTCAGTATTGATTGACATTTTCTGTGGTAAGATACTGGGTATCTCTCCCCATTAGATGACCAGATGTGGAGCAAACAATGTTACAGTTGTCAGCATGGCAGATAAATGTTACCGTGTGAGACGGATAATTCTGCCAATCGGTGTAATTACTTTGATGTTTAAAAGGATAATTGCATTCCTGAATATGAGTGATTGGCATCTTGTTGTGTAAAGTGCTTGAATTCATGACACATTATTTATTTTTTAAACATCTGTGGAAATTGTTGTTACATTTTTAGTGGCCAAGATCAGTTGTTACAGAACAAAAATGCACATCTGAGCATTCACATCAAAATTTGTCAAATGAGAAAAAGGAAAATGTGATTTTAAAATAGTCTTTATAGAGAAAGTGAAGCCTGATTTAGGTAGACAGCTGTACAAAGATTATTGTGAAACGTGCACATGCTGTGTGATGTCAGTGTGTACAGAGCCATGATGTGATAATTACCATCTCATGTCTCTCTCTCAGCGTTCAGCATCATAATCTGATTCAACCACTCACGAGGTGTCTTTTGTCTGGGAAGATGACAGCCATAAACCACCCCCCCCCCAAAAAAAAAAAAAAAAAAAAAAGCAGGAGTAATTATGACACTCAGAGGAGCCCTACGTGCCACTTCCTGTTCAGGCCGGCAGGTTTAGCAATCAGAGAGCTGGCACTTGATATGTTGTGAATTGTGGCAGTTTTATCTGTCTGGGAAGACTAACTGTGTAATCCCAGGCATTGTTACATCATCACCATCTTCCGTCACAACAATCCCCACCTCACCCTTCGCCCATTCCTCTGTATTTCCAAGGTCAGTTGAGTAACATCCTGGCTGGGCTGATAATTTGAGAGATTGTCCCTGCAGAGATGCATCACGATTATACTGCAGGATTAATGGATTGTAGATTGATTGGTGATGTCCCCTTAACTAAAAGGTTAAGTTGAAGTGCACCTGCAGCCTCTTCAGCAATTAAAAGGAATTAAGGTATATAGGGTGTTGTCGTGCTTTTAACCTGGATCTGTTAATTTGTTTATTCTCCAAACAGCTGAATAACCACGCAACACACGTGCCTCACAAGCGGCGAAAGAAACGAAAAGATCTTTCAATTCTCAGCCACAAAATGGACTTTAATTATGCGAAAGCAAGGGGATAAATTTATAAAAGGAAGTGCAGTTTTTCAAAGCACTCGAAGACATCCTGGAAGTGTATGTGCAACGTTCAGCTTTATTGATATTCCTTTTCTTCACTTTGCCAACAGTTCGTTACCTGCTGAGGAACAATGTGAGTCCAGACCTCTGCAATGAAGACGGCCTTACAGCTCTGCATCAGGTAAGATTATCTGTCTCCACCTGTCCTTCTTTATGTCCATCTTTGACTTTTCTGATGCGTTTTAACTCTGCCTGTTTTTTTAAAAGAAGATTAAGAACTTGATGTATAATTTGAGTCTCATTTTTTTAATCCAGTTTTTTTTATACTGATTGTTGAATTTCCTGATTAAGACATGCAGAATATGTCAGTATTTTACGAGCATTTTTTAGTCATATACACCCCCAGCTCTAAAAAAGTTGGGATGCTGTGAAAAATAAAGCTATATTTTATTCACGATTGAACATAATCGACAAATATTAAGACAAATATTACCTCATATTGAATTTGATGGTGGCGATAAATCAAACAAAAGCTGTAAGGGTGCAACAAAAGGCTGGAAAAGTTAAAAGAAACAGCTGGACAAACATTTTTCAACTGATTACTGGTTATTTGGTAACGGATCCAACAGGTTCTATTGTGAATACAATATGGATTTATGAGATTTGCCAGTCATTAAAGTCTGGTTATATTTATTTTTCATGTGAAATCCAAACATGTTTGGAATTCGGTTTATATGCAGCCCTTTTAAAAATATGCACCTCAGTGGAGTATTCCTGTATTTTGTGACAGTCTCTTACCTCTACCACTGACCTTCAAGAAGCAAAAAAAGGCACCAACTGGGGAGGTGAAAATAATAATTAGGTAGAGGAAATGTTCAGAAAAATGCACCGTTAATCATTTTAATTGGGGCAGCGCTGACATTTACTATTGTTAGACACATAATATGTGTAAAACGTTTTTTAATCTCTTTGTTTTGATCATGTGTTTTTCATTGAACGCTGTAACATCAAGGCTTTTTCTACCTCCGCCATCACCATCTCTTTGTTGAAATGTAAATGGTAAAATGGCCTGTATTTATATAGCGCTTTACTAGTCCCTAAGGACCCCAAAGCGCTTTACATATCCAGTCATCCACCCATTCACGCACACATTCACACACTGGTGATGGCAAGCTACATTGTAGCCACAGCCACCCTGGGGCGCACTGACAGAGGCGAGGCTGCCGGACACTGGCGCCACCGGGCCCTCTGACCACCACCAGTAGGCAACGGGTGAAGTGTCTTGCCCAAGGACACAACAACCAAGAGTGTCCAAGCCGGGGCTCGAACCGGCAACCTTCCGATTACAAGGCGAACTCCCAACTCTTGAGCCACGATCGCCCCTAATGTAATGAAATAATTTCCAGAGAGGTTTGCCTGGGTGGGAATTAATGTTTGAGGTTTTCTGACATTGAAAAAATGATTTTTAATAGTCCGGAAATGAGTTCAGTTTTGGGGAAATGAATCATTTTTTGCCGTCGGATATTCATAGAGGATGTGAGGCCTGTTTTCACTTGCTAATGAAAGCTATTACTGACATGATAATCAAAGCTTCCCCCTCAACCAAATCAATTCTGCGTGTCACTTTTCATTTTAAACTTCTCAGTAAACAAAGTCAGCCTTTGAATTTAAAAAATAAACTTTTTTGTACCCCAGTTGTAGGTTTTCTGACATCGCCATTATTCAGTCCCAGCGTCCATCGCTGAGCTGAAAGATTCCTGGAAACATGGGAGCAGGAGAGAACATTTTATTTTGCAGAAAGCTGGATTATTGAAGGAGCAGGATGGCCATAAACTTGCTGGTATAGCTCACTGCATCGGTTTGTTTGTCCCTCCTGAGCTGAAATGTCAATTGCTGAAGCAGCTCGTAGAGTAAACTCTAGATTTTATTTAGGTCTGGATGGCAACTTTATGGGTGAAAAAGCAGTTGTTTACAATGTGGAAGTCATCAAACTTTCTCAACCTTCCCCAAGTGGGGTCACATTTTAATGTAAAATAAAAACAAATCTGACTTCCTGAGTGATGACATTTAAACATTTCAGAAGGCCCAATGCTTATTTTTGACTTTGGCTTCCCCTCTGCTCTTTAGCTCCTCGTCCCCCGCTCTTCTCGTTTGTCTCCTTGTGCAATTTCAGTGTACCCCTGACAGTTTATGTCCTCTCTCCTTCTTTAGCTTCTCAGTCTGCTTCAGCTCGAACAGCCGTCCTTTTCTCTCTCTCCTGGTTGTTCACAGCCTAATATCCAGGCTCCTGCTGAGAGGCGGTGAAATGAACAGGGGAAGAGAAAATTGAAGTCCATCAGTCACCAACAGTGTGAATGCTGTTTTTAAAAGTGGTGGGCTGCCAAGAGATCAGATTGACTTTTCAGCTTTGAATGTGTGTGTACCTGGTAATCTGCTATTTGGATGGGTCAGCCAGTGTCTTCAAGATGAGACCTTTTCGTGACTATGAATAGCAACACACATACAGACACACACGCGCACACATGCATGCGCTCACACTGTAAAAAATTACAGTCACACAAAGGAAATTCACACAAATGCTCTTCTGTGTTCATTTTGTCATCTTGTTTTTCAGAAGCTAGATTAAGCAGAGACAGTAAACTAGATACTGAAATGGATGTTGGGGAAAGAAATGAGTGTGAGAACACACACATACACACACATACAGACACACACAGACACCCGACAGAAGGTGAGATAAATGAAGGAAGGTAGCAGTGATGTTCTCTAAATGAAGTGTCATACCTGTCCTGGACTGGTCTCGCTTCACTGACTCGAGACATTAATCAGGAGGCGTCCTGCAGGGGGTCACTGTATGTACAATAACACAACTACACACACTGCAGTATTTACTACAGTTTTTTCGATGAATGCATCCAGATTCCTTTAGCTGGGATGTCTAAAATCAGCGTACATGCATTTGTCTGTTTGCGTAAATGTGAGTGGAGCGTGGACACGAAACACAGCCTCAGTCCTTCATTTTAAGGAAAACTGCTGTATTGGAAGTAGTAGCCTGCCAGTTCAGAGGGCTCACCCTGAAAATATCTGAGGGGGAAAAACTTGCTTTCACTGTTTCTGTCTGCTAAGTATATGCACATGCACAGTATTACAGTACTGCCATACAGGCAATAACAGTTTTACTCTACAGTGATTTGCAGCATTTAAACATGTTTACTGCTCTTTTATTTCATAAGTTCTGACATCCAGAGTTCAAATTAGCACCCAGCAAACTGCCAAATGTGGGTAAATGTTCCATTTAGTGGATGAGCCTCAGGGGTGTAGCTTCCACTCTGGTGGGTAAATGTTCGTGCCAAAATAATCATGTAATAAAACACAGCGGTGAGAGCCTCTAATGTGTTCTGGTGTCATTTTCAAGCACCCTGCTATAGGGGGTCAAGTGTGACAAGTTTGATGAGGAAGCTTGTCGAGTACAATAGTAAAGCATACACTGGGGGAAAAATCATTATTTGATCCCCTGCTGAATTTGTATGTTTGCTCACTTACAAAGACATGAAAGGTTTTATGGTGGTTTCATTTTAAGGGACAGAGATAGAATATCAACCAAAACTCCAGAAAAAACACAATTTCAGCTTTTTTTTTTTTTCTTTTTAAAGTTAAAATTTAATCCCAACCAAACATGGCCTAGTAGTTGGAGAAAGCCTTGTTGGCAAGTGGTAAGACATTTCTTGTCTCATCTCAGCTGGGAGTTTGGCCCACTGCTCTTCTCTAAATTCTCTAAATCTTTTAGGACAGCAGTCCCCGACCCCCGGGCCATAAGACGTTTGGTACCGGGCCGCGAGAGTTGAGGCCCGGGTTAAAATCTATGGCTTTCAGGGTTTTAATTGGTTTTTAGCGTTATTTTTTTTTAAAAATGGTTTTTATTATTAACTCTGTTTCCCTCGGTCTTTTCCCGTGTGTTATGAATAAATCTTCCTTTTTTTGGTACCGCTACTGGTTTTATTTTGTTGTATTTATCTGCGACACCTTAAAGACCTATAATTCAATTCAATTTAGCTGCCTTTAAAGGAAAATATTGTCAGACATAAACCGGTCCGTGGTGCAAAAAAGGTTGGGGACCGTTGTTTTAGGAAGCTTCAGGTCTGAAGACTGGCTAAGCCACTGCTTCAGCCACTCCTTTGTTGCCTTTGTGATATGTTTTATGTCCCATTCACACTGGTCCCTCCATGTGGAAAAGTTGCCCTGTACCACTAGCAGAAAAATAGTCCAAAGCATGTTTCCGCCTCCATGCTTGACTGTGAGGATGATGTTCTTTGGGTAATACTCAGTTTCTCTTTCTCCAAACACATTCGAGTTTGATTGATCGATTGATTGTATCTGTGGGCCACAAAGGCATAGACGTTGACCTCCACTAATCAAAGACATCGCTGTTTCAATTTAGGATTGTGGCTTTATTTCTTTTCGTGAATAAAACACGTTTATGTTGAAACGAGGGGGAGCTCACACCATTGTTTCACAGAGCTGTAGCTCATAGTAAGTCTGCGTTTAATGGTTACGTAATCACTCATAGTTATTGGGATTTTTACATCAAAATCTCCCTGCTGAGCTCCGTACTCTATGTAAAGGGTTAGAGTGAGTCAAAACATTAATATCAGACACCTAGCACACTGTTGTAGGCCCTTGTTAGCTTCAAGCATAAATCCTTAGTTATTTACCGTTTGACGTTTTGTTTTCTTGCTGAGAGTTAGATAAAAGATAAAACTTTCATGCCTCTGTGGTAAATATGAGCAGCGGTTTAGTTTAGCATAAAGACTGAAATCGGGGGAAACCACATTCATGGCTCTGTGTAAAATGAGCACTTTGTTTTTCTGTATGATGCAACAAATGAATCACCTCATCCAACCCTTCTGAATTTGTCTTAGCTTTTTTCAGAAACAGACACTGTTTGTCTTCCTGACGCCCTGAGTGAACGCTGCTGCCCTATTGGAATATTATCTACATACATGTGTTATGTACCATAAATCGTATCCGTTTCTTTTGTTAAGGTGATGTTATAACCTTTGGAGTGCTTTACAGTATCTGAAATCTGCAGTTAATGGAGGTAAACAAGGATATTTTTGATTTGAAGCTATTCTGAGGTAGAGGAAGGCAGCGTTTTTTCTATTTTTCTTTTTTCCTAAACAC